CCCCCCCCCCCCCCCCCCCCCACATAAATAATGACCGGTCCCTTACAGGGTGTATAAAAGTCAATTTATATATAATATGGAAGGACACCTCAGTCTGTAATGGGGACACTTTGGCCTGTCTATTTAAAAACACTGTTTAGTCCCTTAACACTTGTTTATTATTAATATTTTATTTATTTGTTTCTTTTTATTCAGGTCTTGGACGCACGTGACCCGATGGGAACGCGCTCCAGTCACATTGAATCTTTTATGAAGAAAGAGAAACAACACAAACATTTGATATTTGTTCTCAACAAATGTGACCTTGTGCCGACATGGGTGACGGTAAGAAAGAGATTTTCATAAGGTTATCTGATATTTATATTTTTTTTCCAGTCCTGGGCTAGAATCCTAATAGGACAATTAAGGTGAAAGTAAAATCACTGATCGTAGCAAAGTGTCAAGTTATGCGGAGTCATAAGCGCGGGAAAAAAGTATGAAAGCCGCGGAGACAGTCTGTGAAGGCTTCGTATTTTACTTCTGATTGACCGAATGTTAAAGAACGTTCTTTGAGATTTCTAGCCAATCAAAATGCGTAGAAATGCAGCACCAAAAGAACTTTGCCCTTAAATAAGCGTTTAACCGCCGCACGCGGCGGATGAATGTTATAATGGGTGTATTTCTTTTTGTTTGTCTTTATAGCAAAGATGGGTGACAGTTTTGTCTGCAGAATATCCAACTCTGGCCTTTCATGCAAGTGTAACAAACCCATTTGGTAAAGGAGCTTTAATAAACCTTCTCAGGCAGTTTGCTAAGGTTTGTCACTTTTATTGTTGCATAATGAAAAGTAGGAAACTTAAAAACTATCTTAGGCCTAGGCCATCGTACTTTTCATTAGACGAACCAAACTTAGGGAGTTAAGTTTATTAAAGGTTCGACATCTGGCTCAGTCATAAGTTCGTCTGAACGAGTTAGGATCGTCCAGCACGTTCTCTCCGTCTACTTCAGATGGATATTAGAACGTCTGAAGATCGTCTCTGGGACAACCGTTGATCTTTTATACGCACGGCGAATTAAACTAATAAATTAAAAACTGGTATGAAAATGTACATTTAGCCTCCTAAATTATTTTATTAAAATTGCTTTTTGGTCTGTTTCAGTTAATTAGTTTGACGTGTCCTAAGTTCGACGTCTGACCCAACAGACGATCTTGACTGAATTTAGGTCGACCCAAATTAGAGCTTTGCTTGTCTCATGAAAAGTTCGACGTTTGGCTTGGCCTTAATGTACAGTAAAGTATTTAGTGTGCAGTTTTTTTCTCGTTTGCTCTTATTCTACTACATGTATAAAATAAAATATCAACATAGCGATTGACACTGACTTACTGTCCTATCTTGTCAAGTCTTATTCCATTTTTAAACTTTTTTTCACACAGCTTCATTCCGACAAAAAACAAATAAGGTTGGTTCTTACTTTTAATAATTCTGTTGTTGGAATTGTCACTAACATGAACAGTAACTTATTAAGTGTTCTTAGGCTTACCCCTTTCATTAGACGAGAGCAGTCTCTTATTTTTCTTTTGAGTCATGGTAGATGCGAGCACAAGTAATGGAGGGGAGGGGCGAGCGGCGAAGCCCGACCGAACTAATTTGATGTGGCTAAATGTATTTTAGGCAAAGTTAACCTTGAACCATTCCTGGTGTGTAGTTTTTCCCAGCGTTGCTTGGGGTGGCACAATAGGGAGCTTTAGCATCGACGACGGCTACGGCAGCGAAAACGTCAGTTTTAAAATGAATTCCCTTTTTTTCAATCTTTGTCGCGTTTATTCCAATTTGCTGAAAATGGCAAGTGTAGGCGAATTTCCCTGGAGTTGATTTCTTGAGGACCGCACTCAAGTTTAGAGAGAGAAAAAGAGATTCGTCGTCGCTTGTTATTTATGCCCAACTACGACGTGAAACTGCTGCCTAAGGTCCTGTTTACATGGAAGTAGGGGAGCCCAGGTAGGTGAAGTAGCCCGCGGCGTGTCACCCCACCTATCATGTAAACGTGATCAAATTAAAGTAAGAGATTATATGGACAGGCGGGATACCCCACCAAAGGCGGTTACCACACCAGCCTTGGGTCCCCCACCTCCATGTAAACAGGCCCTATATTTTACATTTTATGGAGGACGTAAATATGTGACGGCGAGATCCTATAGGAATTCAACAGTCAGGGGGATTCGCAAATATTGCAGGTGATAAGGTAAATGGGAATAATCGAGATCAAGACTGAAAGAACGCAAATTCATTTTTTAAGCAACATTTTCGCTGCCATCGCCTTTTTGGATCTTAAAGTCCCTATTTAGCAGAGACCGTGGTGGTTAATTACAAATTGGGGGAGGACGTGGTAATATAAGAGGGGAGGCCTGCTCGATTCAAATGCGTAAGCACGCTATTGTGACTATTTGTGTGATGCTATCTTTTTGTCTTCGTGCCTGTTTTCTTCCAGAAATCAGTGGCGGAGCCAGGGGAGGGGCCGGGGGGACCGACTCCCCCTTATTTTGAGACCAAACCGAGGCCTGAAGGGCCGAAAAAAGTTTTCTCAGACCGCGCCCCCACCTCCCCCTATCTCAGGGTCTTTACGATCGGGCCCCCCTCCCCTTATCTGAAGATCTGGTTCCGCCACTGGAAATAACTTAGTTCAGTTATTTGAGAATAGAGACTACATTTACTCATTGAAACTGTTTCCTGTCGTCTGTTGTTCGAGAAATGAGCCCGCGCTCCTCTCCCGAACAGACGCTGTCTCTTCTCGGGAAGGCCCAAGAGAGCGGCTGAAATCGAGCCGACAAGATGATGCGCCCATTCTTTTCGACGCCTGCCCTGCAGGCCATGAGCTATATCTGTGATTAGTGATGTTGTTTTCTCCGATTATATTAGCGGAGACAATATGGTCTCGTACTGAAATCAAGAGGTTTCTACACCGGCTACGATGCATCTGTTGATCCGTCCATCGCAAACAGCTTCGCAACGGCTGCTTTAAGATATGGACACAGCACTGTTGGAAACATCTACAAACCCTGCACACCCACAGCTGATTTTCATAACCCTGCTCCGCTGTACGCCGAGAACGGTGTTGATGCTATATTACGAGGCCTTCTTTATCAACCTGCTAGGGAAGTGGATAGGTACTGTATGTGAAATGATGCATGCATAATACTTACATACTGTGTCTACAGGTAGACTACAGGTAGCGACTCCTGAAGGAGAATCATGAGGTTATCCCTATTTTAAGAACTCTCTTCACAGACAACTCAAACCCCGACCTGCCGCTCAGCAGACCGGCACTCTCCCAACTGATTCATCAGGCGGCGGTGAATGAATATATACTAACATATGAAATTCATACATTGGAACCGCGGAATGAAAAAATAAACACAAAAAAGATCATCACAATTAAAACGCTACTTATGCAGTTGCAAAAAGAAAGCCTTAAAAATTTAGGCTTCCCCCGCGATTCGGACCCTGGCCTTCTGCGATACCGGTGCAGCGTTGTAACCAACTGAGTTAGCAAACCAACTGGGACCTGGAAGAGTATTGCCAGCGTATAGCGCCGGCCGAATTGTTATGTCTGGGGTACTTTGTTGGGCTCCGCCGCCAAAAACTGCGCAACACGCCTCGGCTAATTTTGCTAGGAGTTCAGCACAAGCTAAGTATTGTACCGTTTATTTTCTTAGCCGTAGTCTGTTTTTAGTGAGGTTATCTTAATATCACACAGAACTAGCCTAGTCCCTAGCTGTGACGTCACCGAGAGAGACTCGCCGAGAACGCTAAAATTAGGGGTATTTTGGCAATATCTGCTTGGCGTTTTCTCGCCCGCTCTTTCCCAGTCTTCGCGGGGGCAACGGGGCAACATAGAACGCCTAGAGATTAGGCTGACAGAACTTAAAGTTGAGAGAGGAGAGGTATTCATTTATAGAACTGAACTAGCTAAGATAAATTGATTTCCTTATACAGTATGTCCGGTTAATGATGTCTTCTTGCGGAAAAAAGATCTTAGTTGAATATAAATCAGCGTTTTGCGGATCACTTTCATCACTTAAGGCAGGCGCCCTTGACAGAAACCCTCTCTTTACTAAACGATAATTTATTCAAAGCATTGAAAAATACTCTAAGGTTTTACTGGGGAAAGCTTCCATGCAAGGAACACCCTCGTGACCAGGACAGGCTAAGTGTGTCTTGATACTAATACAAACATGACTCTATCGATTTTTTTTTTCGGGTGCAAAGTTTTTGTCCCCAGGTTTTGCACTAAATAGGTTAGAGGTACCGGCTTATTTACTCGATTAAGTAACGCAGCGCTTGTTAAATTTTTCTTCTTCTCTGTGCGGTGCTTATTGAAGGTGGCACTCACTTAAAAATTTGTTTTCATTCGCGAATAATCATTAATAGTCATGTCTGTCAAGCTAACAAAAGCCCTATTCACAAAGGATAGCACTCAGATCCATTAGCCGCCGACCACATTCAATTTATACTTTTCATTACTTGCCTTCATTTCGAAGGTTCTTCTCATGGGCAGTCACTCAGAAATTCAAGCCTGGACCAAACCAGATCGCTGATCTTGTTGCTATAAATATACAGCGAGGGAGAGATCATGGCCTCCCCGCCTTTGGCGATTTCAATGCACACTTCGACGTTAACAATGTTAATATCCCAGGTGACTTAAAGAATATGCTGAAAGAGTTATACGGCTCGGATTTGAGTCAAGTTGATTTATATGTTGGCGGACTACTTTTAGAAAATCCCACCTATGGCTCACATGTGGGGCCTACCTTCGCTCGCATTTTAGCTGAAGGATTCAGGTAAGCTTAGTTATTGATTAGTGAAACAGCTCATCTTATAGTACGCCGAGTGATATGCGTCAGGAATAAAACCGTCGCGTATGCAAAAAGAAGTGGGGGTACAAAAGATAGGCCTCTGGCGCCCGATCTCTCGCGGCTTTGCCGCCTCCGCTCGCCGTTTCAAATTTCTTTTTCGTGAATATTCTTTGTCATCTTTAGGAGGCTTTGAATAATCTTTTGCATAATGGAAAGCACTAAACCAGCTCACCACAGAGTTACCATCAGTTTTCTTTTTATCTATCTAGCCACTTCGATATGTAACACTAAGAAAAAGAAATATAGAGATTTACGAGGAAACTGTGCTTGAAAGCCCAATGAAACCACGAAGCTTTTGCAACGCCGTTGTGGGCTTTCTTTTTGTTTCTGGCTCTACTAAATTGCCAAAAAACCACCAAATATTAATTGAACCGCGGTGGCAGAGTAATAATACGAAGTAATAAAATTATAAAGAAAAAGTAAGAAAAAAAACAAAAGCAAATAAAAGGGAAAAAAGGGAGGGGTTCGATGGAAATAAGCTAGTTAAGCAAGGAGCTTTTGCTTCAGTTTGTTCTTAAAAGCTGATAAACTGACTGAGCTTTGAATGTCTGGGCTTAAAGAAATTAAAGGCGCGAATGTTTGTAAAGCGAGTCTAAAACCAAGAGAGAATTGGCAACTAGCAAGCGGCATTACATTTAGACAAATAGGAATACCTCCAAACATGGTCCTCAGTTTTCGGTTAGAACTTCCGGAAACGATCTAGCTTGGCATGAACTTTTGATCCGGAATATTAATTTCCGGAAGTTTTGGCTCAATGGTAAAGACTAAGCGTATCACATTTTCACTGATTTCAGGAATTTAAGAAAAGGTGACCGCTTCTGGTACGAAACAAACGAAAAGGGAGTTGGATTTTCCCTTGCACAGCTGACGGAAATAAGAAAAGTTAGCTTAGCTAGGATCGTTTGTGACAACAGTGGTCTATCGTATGTTCAGCCTAAGGTAATGAAAAAGAGAAACTGGTCGAGAAACAGAAAAGTTAGGTGTGGCAGTCTTCCTGAAATGGACCTAACCAAATGGAGTGATCGGTCGGTAAGATAGTTGATTTCAAGTAACTTAATTATTCAATAGTTGTTTAGAGAAGCGGTAGAGAGATGCTCGCGACGGGTGACGGTAAGGAGGAAGGCCCTTTTTCTTGTCATTGTCCCCTTTGTTAATGGCCCATTTCATTATGGATTAAAGTTATATTAACTGCAGCGAATGATCAAAATTTCCACCTGTTCCTTCGTTGAATTATTTATTTTTTACCCAGATCCCCGCAATACCGCGTTCTTTGCGCTTCGATGATATCCCCCAATGAGAAACCTTACATAAACAGCCATCTTCCCGCCATTTAGGTTCCTTTCCACTACTATGTATCAAATATTCGTTATGTAAAAGGATAAAAGAAAATAGGTATTAATGATTTTTACGAACAATCACTGACAATAACACAATATACCTAACCTCAGACTTGTTTTGGACTTTGCAGATCAATGAAATCACAAATTCCGAGAGCGATCTTTCTGATGACATTACGCTAAGCGACTTTTGAGAGGTTTGTAAACCTTAAATATGAGTTACTTTTTTGCAGTCTAAGTTCAGATCAGTCATTCAATCAATCAATCATCAATCAATAAATACAATACCTATCACAGTGTCTCTTTTACAGGCTAGTTAGGCCGCAACTTTTTTGCTAACTATTTAAAAATAAAGGTTGTTTGTTTTAGAATAATGAATAATCCGCTATCATCCACTTTTCACCTCTTTGCTCGTCCCTTTTAGAAGAAAATTTCCAAATAGGTTTACATGTCATCCCTTTACTAGGCTTTTCACAAACACGCGAACTCTAAAGTTCAATAGCCGCCTTCACAATTGCGTTTTTCACTTCCGTTAATAATAATTATGATCACAAGCCAGCCTCCTCCTCAGGCGCTTCGTTTTTCGCATGGCAGAGGCGAGCGCGAAACGAGTGACTGGTGATGAACCGCAAGGGACCATGGGAAGGGGTCCTTCCCGCCTTCCTTTGCGCGCATATTTTCATCAAAAGAGAGACGTCTGGGTACGAGGCAGATCACAAGCAACGAATCTTGAATTTAACACAGAAACATACAAGATAGATCGCAATCCACCAAATCACGAATCACAAACCATGACTTTTTGAATCTATTAAAGTAAAGTTCTGTTTCCTATAAGCGGTCAGCTAAGATAATTGACGGTGGTGAAGAACGTCAGTTGGCTTTTGAACTTCAGAATTTGCGTTTTTTTGAAAAGCGCAGTAAAAGTAACTACATGTGGGAAGCCTATTTTTTACATTGAGATTGCTATGTTTCAAGCCGCCTTCCTAGTTATTAAAACTGATGCAGTAGAGTGTTTTTTTTTGTAACACAGCAAAATCTTTTTTATTATCAGAATTGCTCAGATGTTACCCACTTCACGACAATCGAGGCCATTTTATTTAGTGGAACATTTTCAACAAAGAGGAAGGAAAGAAGAACCGTCAGGACATAAAAAAATAATAATAAAAAACAAAAACAAAAAGAGGGTTTCTACTTTAATCAGTATATCTTAGATTCTTGTAGGATGATTTTAAGTCTCCTATACTTATTTTCGCGTTTTCCCGTTATTCAGCAGAAAACCAATCGTATTATGTTTCAAAGTGTATAAAACCAAGTTTAGTTCACAGGTCGCAGTATACTTTATAAACCTCACCGGATAATTGACCAAACTCACGTTTCTTTGATTCATATATCACTTATGTATTTTAGATGCAATGAAGTTTGCAGTTGTGTCATATTGCCTTTGTAAATCTTTCTCGCCCTCGGCTGGCTTTAACTGTACACTCAGTATATAAGCAAAACATTTCATCTGAATAAAACGTGTGAAGTCTGATATGCTCTAAATATTTAAATCAGCTGGGCTTTATTACCCGCGGGTTTGTTTGACAAAAATGATATGAGCTGACTGGATTCGCAAGTATCCATGCGACGCTTGTATTACAGGCCTTACTACGTACGTTGAGCCAACCTGCAACTTACCAAACATCATTAACAGCAACATAATCACCTCTGATAAAGGTGAATATACCAATGAGGCGGTAGGCTTGCCTTAATCTATATATTACGTCATCAACTGATTATGCAGTAAGAAGCTAGTGCCAGTACAGTACACATCGGGCGTACAAACCTTTCGAACCTCTTCACTTGCGCATAATAATCGCTGGTCCTACGCTTTTTTTAAGGGTTTATTTTTGTTTGTCACTTGTCTGTCTTTAGAGTGCTCTTTTGGTTTCGTGGCCAATAACGATGAGAAAATGACAGTCAATATAAGGAATATATGCAGTCTCCGTTCCCATAGCCTGTTCCAGGCTCCGAGATGTGGTGGAAAGTCGTTCAGTAATAAGAAATGCGAAAAACGCGCGGGGGCTGGGGAGAGACAGGGCGGCTCTCTCCCATTTTTCCCGCCGCCACCACCCCCTTTCCCAAGTCGTGCGCGTCTTATTTTCGCTTTGCTCGTTTTAATACGTTCCCACTATACTTCCACTATACTATCTGAGAGCCTGGCACAGGGTACCGTTCCCAGTGCCTTTCCCTCAACAAATGGTGCTAGTTTCCAGTTTGCACGTGGTCAATATGGCGTATCACCTTTAACTTAGTAACTTACCTCATTTTAACAGCCTCTTTCCAGCATTCGCTCATTGCTCTTTATCAAAAGATAAAAAAAAAATTGAAAACCGTGGATCGAAGGAAGGCCGGAAGGAAATAAGTGAATAATGGAGAGGGGCCTGGAACTGATTGTATGTGAAGGTGCTAGTTTCCAGTTTGCACGTGGTCAATATGGCGGATGAAGGAGTTCAATTTTGTACGCAGGATCACGCAGGAAAGTGATTTGTCAGATTAAGCGTTTTGTCCATTTTGACAACCTAAATTGTTGGTATAGACATTACAGTTATCTCTCTCATAAACATGGCTAAGACAAGGAAAAGATCAGAGAAGGAGAAATCCTCCAAGAAGTCAAACAGCAGCATGAATCCAGGTATAAAAGCTCCACGTTTACGTTGCTATCCTCGCTTCAGTGAAGTAAAATTTATAGTTTCAATTATTTTAAGGCAGTGAATGTCTCACTCTTGCAAATAGCCAAGCGAGATAAGAAAGCAGAGACGTAATGGGGGCCTAACTACTAGGTTACGCTTTATAAACCGAGAAATCTTCGGCGATCATTTTTAACTTTTAAGCTCAATTTCCTAATTGTCGTGAAAATTCGTAGACCGTCCAAAACCAGCAGGAGGATCGAACATGCGAGACAAGGCAACAATAAACAGACTGAAGATGTACAAATCAGGGGGAAAGGCAATAAGGTGTGATAATTAAGGTGTTGATTGTGCATTGGTTTAGTATTCTTAGTTTGTAACCTCGTGACAAGAGGCCTTGTTGGTTGTCAGTACAATAAACTTTTTGTCGAAGATCTTACATGAAAACTGAGCATGGACATCATGATGGCATGTGCAAACCAGCAACAAATTATTTATGGCTCCCTCAATTCCAAGGGCACCCATCAACNGGAAAAACTGAAGTGCTTAACCTTGTTCAGAGTTAGTCATGATCACTGTATTTCATAATATGCCATGTAGAACTATGATTTCGGAAATGCAAATTAAACAGTGGACACAACCAACAAGCTCACATGTACCAGCTCAAATTTACTTTCCGTATTTATTCGAATAAGCACCCAACCTCGAATAAGCGCCCACCTCGAATAAATGCCCATCCTAAAGGCAGAAAAAGTTAATAAGCGCCCACCCCTTCCTCCTCCCAATCAAACTCAAATAAGTGCTCACCTCTACCCCACCCACTTGAGTGAATAAATTCTGATAAGAGACTTTCCCAAGGATGGAGTTTTTCTTCAGAGTATTTTACAGAAACCTTGCTTTGTTACTTCTTCGCATTTTGTTATTAGCATTTATTGTTTTGTTGCAAAATAAACATACTTCACTGCTGAAAATGGTGAAAATTTAATAAGCGCCCAGGCGGTTAATCGAATAACTAGGTATAATTCTTTGTTTCATTTCATAATACAGTCATGAACTGAGTTCTTAAAAACTCCTCAAGACAGCATAATAGTTTACTAATACTGATCCTTTTCACTAAATTTAATGTATATTCAAATGCATGAAAATGATGGCATGGAGACAATATCAATCACTCTTTTATTAAAGAACAAGGCGATCCAACTACTAAGAATAAGATGATGCTATATTACAGTCATAATATCTTTGAAACTCAGCCAGTTGGTTTTGGTCAATAGTCTCTGATTAATACCAACTATTTCCTGTTTAAATATATGTAATAATAATTGTCTTATTTAATTTTTTAATATTTTGTTTTTTAGAAATAAGCAGGGGAAAATAGTGAAACCAGCGCCTTTCCAGAACTCAGCCGTCTCAGGAGAGGTTGCAAGGGTTGCTCCAAATAGAAAGTGGTTTGGTAAGTTCATCACACTTAAATTATCCATACAACATAAACAACCTTAATTAACTGCCCAGAACTGTTGTGTGTGTGAATTATCATTTCTTGTACCACTTCTCAAGTCATTATTTGATTAATGGTAAGTGCAAGAACTGTAAAAGAGCTCATTGATGCACTAGGCCAGTGAGGGGGGTACTCTGGATTTCGATGACGGGGATGATCAAAGGATTTTTTGGGGTTTGAAATTTTTGATTGCAGGATTTTTTCGGTAGGAAAATTTGGCAAGTATTTTTTTGGGTGGCTGGATTTAAGTAGGAATTTTTTTCGTGGTATTCAAAACAATCTGAAGATTCATGGTATTGCTGCTTATGCTGGATGTATAGTTCTGCAAATAAAGTATCACCAAAATTTTGTTGATATATTGTTTAACTCTTCCTGGAAATTTTTAAGGTTTGGAAATGTGGCATTTTAAAATTTTGGAAATTTGGGGGTTAATTTTTGGTCCAGGGATTTATTTGGGTTTTCTTGGAAGCCTTAGGGATTATTTTGGGTTTTGATTTTTGCCCCAATTCGATCATCTCCATCACTTGAAATCTGGGGTACCCTCCCTGGTGTACATGGTGGTAAGTGACAGGGCTGTCAACCCCCCACATCTTCAAATATTGAGAATTGATAGGCAAGGGATGATAGATGACCTCATATGGCATCATTTGTGCAAAAAATACTCGTTGACCTGATCGTCACGAATTTGTGATGTTTCACATTATTGCGTATCTCTTGGTACATTGCAATGGCATAATATACCACACCAAAGTTTATGAGGAAACATTCGATGTTAACAGTAAAATAGCTCTAGCAACGCAAAATATTTATAAGTTTCTGTTTGGAAAGTCGAGGCTACAACTGAATGGCAAATTTCGGTGAATATCCGAGAGATTTCATACTCTAATCTGGAAACCAGAAGATACGGTCCAAACTCTGGAGTCTCCTGGATAATCCGGGAGAATTGACAGCACTGAAGTGATTGTAATTTCACCCAAATATTCCGTGTGGGAAGGGAAAGCTTTTGAATCATCATACATCTTCAGAT